CAAATCGGGAAGCGGAGCACCGGGCTGCTGTGGTGGGGGGCTGTGGTGGCCAGCCAGCCCTGTGCCTTGCCGAGGGGCTGCAGTGCCACAAGGCCTGCCCGGGCATGGTGATACACAGAGGGGTTACACAGGGAGGAAGATCTTGTCCTGTGGTGTTTCCAGGTGTTTTCTACCCCTTCCAAGGTAGAGAACGTGCTTGGTGCCACAGCTATAACGAGGAAGGTGAGGTAGAAGGCAGTGCCTCCTCTCGTCACACATGCAGACACAGGGCACCGTGTTTTGGCAGCCTCCAATAAGGTTTGGTAGGGCCCACGAATAGGGATGGCCTTGGCTGTTCTCATCACCCTTTCATGCCCTCATGTGGCTTCCGAGCCTTCTTTTGTGGCCATCGGGTTGTTACTCGCTTGCATCCAAACTTTTTTCCTAGCATTGGGTGTCAAGTCTATGTTGCACTGCCAAGCGGCGGGTGCGTTGCCAGTTGGCAGCCCTGCGCTTCCAGGCATTGTTGGTGTGCGGAGCTGCGTCTCCACGTGGGATGCAGGAGCTGAGTGTGCGCCGCCGTTGTGGGGCTGCCGGGAACATGACGTCCTGCTTCCCGAGAGGCCGCCAGGCGGCCACCTTTGTCCAGCCGTGCCACACAGCCCTGGCCTATTATGGATCCTGCCTCTGCTTTCCCACATTTCTGCTCTTTCTCTTGTGTCAGGCAGTGCCAAACTAAACAGTAGCAGTACCAAGAAGTGAATAGAGGCACAGACACAAGGCCAGGGTATTACAAAAAAGTAAACTGTGTACAGCTTGGGCTGTGTTGTCTTCCTCAAGCCAGGGAAAAGGCACTGAGGATACTAACATTGCACTTGCTAACATTGCATTGCATTGCATTATAATTGCTAACAAGGTGCACTTGGCTGCTTCTCTCTTTGGCTTGAAGTGAACCTTGACTGTCCTGGCTGAACACAGACCAGTGGCACATTACCCAAGGTGACAGTTTCCTGCTCAAAGAGTGTCATAAGCAGAATGATCTGCATCTGATCTCCCTCGGTCATCCTCCTAACCCTTCATGAGGAACCGGCCATCCTAGAAGCAAGCAAGGATAATTTCCCAAGACCATGGTCTTGGCATCTTGCCATCTGTCTCCCTCACACCTAGGGCTAGTCAGTGTTCTAGAAAATGCATCCAGAATTTTGAAATACTAGGAGGAAGCAGACACAGCTTATCGTACTAGTCCTGGCTTGAACATGAGCAGTGGCAATCCATGAATAGTGGAGAGGAACCCTTTTGCCAAGCTGGGGAAGGAACACTGAACAATTCTATTTTCTTGCTCATGGGCAAAGCCAAACAGCCAAAAACATGTTAGCTGTTGTTGCCAAAAGGACAATGAGCATACTTGGAAGAATGGTTGGAACTAGGAAAAGAGTTTCATAGTGATCCTTGGAGAACCAAACTAGTACTCTCCTAGAATTGGCAGGACACAGTTGAGATAGCTAGGCAGTCTCAGATGCCTTGCTGGAAATAATACAAACCTGCAGAGAATCTGGAAAGGAGAGGCAGGAGCTGATGGAGATGACAATGAAGCAATCTAAAAGAAAGCAATCTGCCATGAAGGCACAGCTAGAACTGTCATATCTTCCTCTCTTACTTGGAATCAAATGCAGCCTCCCCAAAGCTCTATACATCACCTCCATTCAGGAACACACGCGCCTACCTGGGATCCTGTGAACTCATCCCTTTACAAGGTGAACAGGCTGCTCTGCCTGGCCAGTTGTAGCCCTCGGAACAGGACATAAGTGCTCACACCACGCAGCTCTCCCCTCCTGGCTCTTTCTTCCCCTCAGATTGTTACTGCAAAGTTGGCATATCTCTAAATAGTCTTACATACTTGGTCCAGTAAGGTGCTCAGCCATCTTTCAATATTGTATTCTGTGTTATCTGCACTGCCTTGTTGCCAGAAGAAAAATCTGGCAATTTTTCTCTATTCAACATGTTTCCAAGAGCATTCTTGGGGAGATGGGAAGT